ATCTTAAAGATACAACAAAGAAAGTAGTTGTTGCAATTAGTTTAGGTATGATGCAAGCACATGACAAATTGTAATTAAATGTTACCAAAAGTAGTCTACATATTATGTTAGTTATACTACAAATAATTGGAAATAATATGAGATGAAAAATATTTAACATTATAAATTCACCAAATAATTGTTGGGACGTTGCTATCAAGATTACTCGTACAAAAGATGCCAAAAACAAAAAAGCATTCAGCCGTGGTAGCTAAGTGTTAGATCAACAACATTTCCTAAATCAAGTTCCGGCCTAAACGCTATTGCATCATCAAATTACATGAAACAACTCTTTTTTTAAGGTACTTTTGAGTTCAATTTTGGAGACAAAAGATATTCCGGGATTGAAATACAGAATGAATTAATACCCCATTGTATGCAGTAGTTAAATAAGTGTATCACTTTAACTGACACATATGTCAATGCGCAACTTTGTTCGTTATTATCAATTACATTTGTTTTATATTGAACTTACCCCCTTTTTTTTTTCTTTAAGTATGATTGCCAATGAAAGACTTCGAATAAATATATCTAATTGCATATTTGTAAAAATTATGAAAATTTGATATTTTAAAAAGGAAAAAGCTACTTTGATGATCAATAACTTTAATTCTCTATAAGTAAAAAAATATAAAAGTTATAAATATTACGATAATATATACTTATTGAGAGGAATTAAAAAAGATCCCACATGAATATGTTTTTTCTTACATATTATATTCACAAAAGACGGTCAAATGAGGGGTAGTGAATAGTGTAAAAATCAAAGCGGGTCAAGTAAAAAAGAATGAAGGAAGTATATTAAAGTTTAATAAACATTAATTACAGCGATCGACGCGTAATTTTGGTATGCATTTTAAATTTAATACTACCTCCGTATTTTTTAGTTGACACGTTTTGACTTTAGCACTATTCATTCACTCCCCTTTGACCGTATTTTGTGCTTTATACTTAATGAAAAATATAATCATGTGGGATCTTGTTAGATTCATCACGATATATATTTTCAAAATATCAACTTTTTATAATTTTTGTTTATCGGTAATTAATTATATTAATAGTTGAAGTTGTGTATTGGCAAACGTGATTAAAGAAACGTGTCAACTAAAAAGAAACGGAGGAAGTAATATTTTAGATATGTATTAATTAGTTATCTAAGATCCTAGAGACGCTCGTTGTAAGATCCAAAATTCATATTCAGATAATATAATAAGAGTGATGAATAGTGCAAAAAGTCCATATTAAAAGGCGTTCATAAATTTGTGTATGTGTCACGTGTATCCCTTCTTACACCAGTATAGCGCCACATCATCATCCAATGATCTTAATTAAAAATGCATGTGAAGAGATTTGAACCCCAAACCTCATTGAATGGAAACCATATGTATTACCATCTTGACTAAAATTAATTTATACTCTATTAATCCAAATTTATATATAAATACATACATGTATTAGAATGTAGAATAAATTATTGTTGTCATTATATTCTAATTTGCCCATATTAAAAAAATTAATAAGTATTTTAAAACGTCTAATATAAAAATGAAATTATCCAAAATATCACCCGGGGCAAAAAAAACTCTGGGTCACACACTAGTTGGAGTTTATAAATCGTGCTAAAATCATACGGAGTAAATGCGAACATTTGTTAAGCGAATGTAGCACTTATCAACAATGATTTGTACTATACCCAAATCGAAAAGCTACAGTATGTGATTGATATATTATTTCGTCATACATCTCTAAAATAATGTTTCGGCCACCCTTTTAATTCAATCTTAAGCACAAATCTTTTTTGCTTCCTTTACTCAATTGTCAAACTCAGCTTTCATAGAATGCACTAATCTATCCTTAAAACACTTATTAATAGCCTAATAATAGGACATAAATGTCTAGCTAAGAGCAAGATTAGCCTTAAAATCTTAAGACTTAAAATGAAATCAGTTTTTGATAGGTCCCATTAAAAATGATGTCATTGTATTAGTTAATACTCTTTTAATACTAACTCATATTTAGCACTTTAGCCCTAAACTCACTTGAGACTTCTCATACCATATATTATTTATTTTATTTATTTATATTTTTTACTCTTAGTAATAATAAAAAGATATAGTAGGGCTCACATTCAAGTTTTAAATTGAGTTTTGAATATTCAAGACTCAACTTGAGACTTAGCTAAGATTTCTCAAGAAAAATGGGATCAAACAAAGAGTCTTGTCTTAAGACCCAAGATGATGATGTCATGCGGAGTCTTAAGACTCGGGGCTAATCTTGCTCTAAGGATTAATGTGAATTGATTATTTTGTGAAATTTAGAGATGTTGCGCACGGATCGGGGCAGGGTGGGCCATGTTGTTGGCTGAGGAAAACCTAAACCCCTCTTGTTCATTCATTTGTCAAATTTTCATTAATAGAATTTGCAATGCGTGGTTCCTATAGGCGCCTATACGATGCGCATCGTACGGACGTTTCATTATAAAAATGCGAAAAAAACATATTATAGAAATGTAATTAACATATAACTATAGTGAAAAGAACATACTATTAAAATGTAATGAACATATACCTAACGTGAATAGAACATATTTGTACCAAAAAAGAGTGAACCCCTCTTGTTCATTCATTTGTCAAATTTCCATTAATAAAATTTGTACATTGGATTGGAGATTAAGATGATGGTGTAGACCCGGTTCACTTTACTTTATTTTTGCTGAAATGAAATTAATTTTATTGAACTGAAATTATTATTTATTTATTTTTATTATATTTTTTGTTTAAAATTATTGATTTTTACCAAATTGAAAATAATTTTATTAAACTGAACTTATTTTTAGTAGTTTAATTTTGAAGTTTGCAATCAAACTGCAATATTGTTGGAAAAAGTGTTGTCTGCCAACTCAGTTTCAATTTATTTACAATTAGTCAATGATGAACATTCACCGACATTTAGGTAGAATTTGTTTGTGAATAGTAAATGGAGAGAGAAAAAATAAAGTCGCATGATTAGTGAGAGAGATAAAAAAAATTAACAAGTAAAAAAGAAAAGAAAATTTGTTGCGAATAATTTGTTGTATCCATTATAGTAAATGTTGTGCAAAAATGGAAACGAAGTTAGTAAATCTTCCTCAGAGTTTGTTTTTTATTTTTTTTTATTTTTTTTTTTTTGCAATCATAGTATTTATTTTTACTTACAACACTTCTCATTTCATGCTTGACAATGCTTATTTCACTCACAAATATCTTTAGTACCAATAAGGAAAAATATTAAAATTTTATATTATGCAAGCATCATAATCTAAATATATTCTACACAATTATGTTTATCCCTAACTATTAATCATAAAAGCCCATCAAAGTAGAGTACGTGAATATTGTAAAAGTCTTAATGTTAAAAGAAACCGAACAAACTTTTTTATTCAATTTTTTATTTTATTTTATTTATTTATTTATTTTTATTTATTTATTTTTTTATTTTTTTTTGTGTGATGCTAGCCCCCATACATACAAAGGAAGCCCAGGCTAATCTCTGAAATTAACATTCCAGTTTATCTCCTCTTACAACTTTATGCATTTATTTATGTACCACTTTATTATTTCAATTTTATTAATTAAAAAATAAAATAAAATAAATTATATTGTGAGAGGAGATATATTTATAAATTTATCTCGCATAGAAACTTGGATTTTCTCATACATAAACATATGAATAAGTTATTTAATGGATTTTTCACCAAATATCCCTTAGTTATTTTTTTATTCACCATATATCCATAAAAAATTTCAAATTCACCATATACACTTGAGTTTAACAAAATTGTCACCAAATGCCTTTAATGACTAACGGCAGTTAACTTCGTTAGTCATTAAGACTAAATATGCCACTTGGCATATTCTAATTGGTTTATTTTTATAATTTTTTTATTTAACAAAAAAAGTAAAAAAAAAAATTTAAAAAAAAAACCCAGCCACTCTCCCTACCGCACCACCACCCCCACCCCCACCGACGACACCGGCACCGGCGACCACCTTCCCTCCCCTTATCCCATGCCGTCGCCGCCCCTCTCCTTCTCAAAACCACCTTCCCCCTACCCTAAAACCCCACCCTCCACTCGAAAAAACCGCTCTCCCCTCCCGCCGGCGCCCAACCAACCCCCAAACCCTATCCTTTGCGCCGGTGAAGCTATGTCGCCCCTCCCCCTACCATCTCCACCCACTTTTCCCCCTTAAACCACCATCCTGAAACCCTAAAACCCCAAAATCGAAACCCTATATTTTGGTTTTAGGGTTTCAAGGTGGTTTAAGGGGAACGGGAGTGGGCAACGGTGAGAAGCGGTGGTGCTCATGCCGAAGGAGTGAGAAAGTACCGGTAAGGGTTGGTCGGCGCCGGAGTTGGGGAAGCGGCGAAGCTCGTACGTCCCAAAGGAGTGAGAAAGTACAGGTTTTTAGGGGAAGCGGCGGGGGAAGACTGGCGCCGGCGTAGGGGAAGAGACGGGGGAAGAACTGGCGCTGGCAACGGGAGGGCGCTCGCCGGTCGCCGACGAGACCGTTGGTGGCAGCAGAAAAGGGGAGGCTGAAGAGTGGTGGTTACTTATTTTTGTAAAAAAATAATTATTTCACTAATTTAATAAACAACCAATCATATGCCGCCACGTGGCATATTTAGTCTTAATGACTTACGAAGTTAACCACTGTTGGTCATTAAGGGCATTTGGTGACAATTTTGTTAAACTCAAGTGTATGTGGTGAATTTGAAATTTTTTATTGTTATACGGTGAATAAAAAAATAACTCAGGGATATTTGGTGAAAAATCCGGTTATTTAATTCTTGGTTTGAGGTTTGTTGTAAAAGAGGTTTGTTATAGGATAATGTGGTATAGGATAATAAACCTCTGGTTCTAGGAAAGTATAATCAGGTAGGAAGATAGGAAAAATGAAGCCAATCGTGTACAATCCTAGAAATTGTTATACAAGTCAATACAAAATTAAGTTCTCTACTTGCTTGAGTTATTACAAAAAGAACTGTTTAGTCACTATTGAGCATGGTCACTAAAAATCCCATACCTCCAGACTCCAGTCCCACACCATATAGTAGTGTCTTTTGTTACAAGGCGAAAACAGAAACTACAACGATAATTTTCCAAAAAAATACTATAATTGAATGTTTCATCACTAATATAGTCTAACACAACCTTTCCGTTCCACTTAATTAGCTGAACATCAAAGAAGCGAACAGATGAATCATGCTTGGCCACACTTACTCAGACAGCCAACTCCTTCCTCCAGATAATCTTGCCTGCTGATCCAAAACTCTGGTGCATCCTGCATGAATTGAGACTATTTTCATATATACCACAGAACACAAGATCACGTCTTGGATGAATACTATTTGTTAAAAACAGAGTATAATTATACCATAGCATTTGACCTCAACACGTCCTCTCTTACTAACCTAGCAATTCGCAGTACTCCATTTAATTCATCTAGGGATTTATGATTATAATCATCAGTTAATCAATTAATCTACCCAATAGACCTTCTATGAGAGATGTTATCACTTGATTACCTTACAGGGGTGACAAAAACTCCGGAAGAACTAAAAAGAAACGAGGAAATATCTTAATCTACCCACATGATAATATGATATCAAAGTAGACATTAATAAAACTAATTGAGTCCAGATCAACAATTAAAACTATGGAGTGCTTGTTAAACTACTAGTATTTCATATGATTATAGATCGTGTAGTACCCGATGGGTCAATGCAATCTCCGAGAAATGAATCTAGAGCAGCAAGCCCCAGATGTACTATCATCACCATAATACCAATTTTAGACATTAAGTAGCCATACCAGAAATAATTCTGTGGGGACCCTTATATTTTATTTCCTGGCAATGCCAGCAAGGATTGTACTCAAATCCTCATCCAATCCTACATTTCACTCAATCTGAATTTCTGAATTAAGCACATAGGAATATATGATCATCACCCCAATGGAAGGCAGATGGATTCGGTACTGATACAGGAATCAAAGGGAAAATATCTAGGAGAAACACAAATTTTGTATTTGTTGCAGTTTGTAGAACAATAAATAGTACTACGTATTTGTTTTACCTCTTAATTACCACCAACTTAACCTTGCCTGACAGCAAAAAAGCTTGTACCCAATCAAAATTAAGAAAAATAGTCTCACATTCACACTTGCTAATTCAGCAAAAAAAACTTGTTAAAAATTACTTTTAAACTTCATTCATTTTTACCCCTTTTTTCTGTTTTCTATACTCTGTTAATTAATCTTATCCACCCAGCATACAGAAGAAAAGCTTCAAATAAATGTCAGGTGTTGTATACAAAGACCAAACAGGCTCATATTATCAATTGTTGACAGTTTGACACACAAATTTCATGGTTTTTTTTTTTTTTTTTTTTTTTTTTTTTCCCTTCTTCTCTGAGATCACTCATTATCCAACTAATCTATAACCAATCAACCATAACGCTTAAGCTTTCAAATTTCCAAACCCATAAGATTCCCTATTGTGAATCTGTGATGCTAGTTCTTTCTCTGTACAAATTGAATCTTCTGAGTAAGTGAAAATGTGAGGTCATGAATTGTGAGTTAAAAAAGATTGACCAAGTCCCTAGTTCAATAATTTTCAATAAAAACAGAAATCAAATAAGAAATTCTATGTTCAGCGAAAGAAACATGTAATGCAAAGAATTAGTTTTTACCTTGAGAAGAATAAAATATCTAAACACTTATGAAAGAAAAGGATTGTCTAAGTGAAAACTGAGTAGAGGACTTGGCTTCTCCCCTTGCATAAACCACTCTTACCCAAACTTCGCCTAAGTGACCATAAGTTAATTTTTTTTCGAGAACATAGCAGTACCAATTCAAAATCTTGACCAGCTAACAATTTCATCTTTCATGAGAATTCAACATTCATTATTGGTTCAATTAGTCTCTGGTATCCCCTTTTAAATTTCACTGGTATTATGGTATCCCATATGTATATATATATAATGGAACAGAAGCCTTTTTATCCTAAGATGGATAAGTATCCATCCACAACCTCCATAATTTCACGAAATTAAGTCCACATATCTAATTAAACACAACTAGTCGGTCATATAAAGGCCCATGGTGGCCTTGAATTAATTAAGGGAGGCGTGTACGTAATTGGATAAATTGACGGTTTAAAGGCAAAGTGGATGCTTTCAACCACAGAAAAGGCCTCACGAGGTGTCCTGGGGTTCATAAGAAGAACCCCAAACACTTTTCTTTCCGGGTTCGGATTGGACAATTGAAGGCTAATACATGAAAAATCGGACCTATTTTGGAGGTTTCGGGACTTGGTGTCAAATAATCTCGAGATTGTGAGGGATGCATCTCAAGGTCATATAATATTGTTTTGAACCACATATGACCACTAGTCGGTCATATAAAGTCCGCAGTGGCCTTGAGTTTATGAAGGTAGGCATAGGTTGTAAATGAATAAATTGGCAATTTAAAGGCAAATTGGACGGTTTTAACCACCCAAATAGACTCCCCAATGTCTTATGGTCCATGGGAAGCACCCCAACCTGTTTCATTTCCAAGTCCAAAAAAGTTGGAAATTATCCAAAAATGAAGGCTATATAACTTACGCTTTCAGGCCAATTATGAGGAAGATTTCCAAAATTGAAGTGAAGGCGTGGGGGGTCCACAGGAGTCATATAAGTTGGTTTGGAGCCATAATAAGGTTACCAATAGGTCTATAAAGTCCTAAGAATGAATTTGGTTCATCTATGTGGCTATTTCGGAATTATGTTGCATTGGTAGGTAGTGATATGTTGCACCCGATGGTTATTTATATAACCAACTTCGCATCCCGGACCCTATTAAGGTCTATAGAGTCCATCTCCATTGGTATTGCTGATTATTCCCAGATTCATAACTTACCATAACGTTCCATTATGATGTTGATTTAGTATTATACCACTTTTCGATTATATTATTTCAGTGTTGTGATATTCAACATCAATCAATTTGATTTTGGTTTGAATGTTTACATACAGTTTTCCATTGATAATGTATGGATGTATAGCCATGAACATGGAAGTGTACGGGAAGGGTACATTGGTAAGGAATCATTGCCTAAGCACCTGCTGAAAGGAGAAGACCCTTGGATATTCTTACACAATAAGTAATTAGAAGCTATTACTTTTGAAGAGTAGCTTTGCCCTATTTTTGTTAGTGCACAACTGATAACTTTGCCCCGAGATTTTACAGTCCAATCGACTGCATTAGAAGTTACTAATTACTTCCTCCGTTCTTTTTTACTTGACCCGTTTTGACTTTTACACTATTCACCACCCCTCCTTTGACCGTTTTTTGTGAATAATATGTAAGGAAAAACATATTCATGTGGGATCTTTTTAAATTCGTCTCAATAAATACTATCATAATATATAACTTTTATAATTTTTACTCATGGAGAATTAAAGTTATAAATCGTTAAAATTTTACATTGGCAAACGTGATAAAAGAAACAAGTCAAGTAAAAAATCCTGCAGGAAGTACCAATTAAAGCATATTCATGAGAGTAAACACCTCATGGAAACGAATTCCATGTAATGAACATATTGTTTATTCTTGCTAATTTAGCAACCTAAACATATTTTAAGAAAGGTGACTAGTACTGTACTGTAGTTTACACATTGTTGGAGTTGCAACTTGCAATCTGGAGTGTGTCTTTTGAATTTTTGTTTGTTGGTCATAAAAACAATAAAGTAAGGCACAGAAATGAAGGGAAAACAGAGCATGGAAGAGGTACCTTCATTATTCCTGCAAGAACTGCACCTCCAAGGTACACCATATGCTTTCTTCTAGGTGGGTCCTCTATCCTTAATCTCAGCTTCTACATATTGGAATAAACAAGATTAAAAGATTCATTAATGAAGAATCATATTCATAGTTTCATACCACGGGAAGCCCCAGGTAGAAGCAGATAGGAGTCCAGGTGCAGACACTTCAAGCCAAAACACTAAACAGAGATACCCAAATAGCTAAAACAATGTTTAAAGAACACAAATAGATTCGTACAGAAAAGGCCTGTGACCAGTCTAAAAACAATATTAAAATACAGAATGTTGCCACCTGAAGCACAAGAACAAATTGCCACAAATTTTACCACCCTTCCAAAAGGGAATATACATCATCAACACATGTTAAAAGATGCAGGCATTCCTCTCCAACCAAACTATCTACAGAATCTTCATCAAAGCATACCTGAAAATTTTGCTTCTTTCCAAAACTTAAACCCCAATATCTGGTTTCTGAATGCTTCAAAATCATCAATTTTAAAGAAGATATGGTTTGTGTTAGTTCTATTGCAGGATTTAACATGGAAGTTGCACTTCTAACATAGACCAACCACCCAATTCTCACTCCTCATGATAGTGGAAAACACAGCATTCTGCCACTTCCACAGATACATGGTTTTCTTGAGAAAATAAGTAGCTACAAAATTAGGCCTCAGTTTTACAACTTGCAAGTATTCCTCATGTGTGAACATTACAATCACAAGAGCTACAACCAGAGCTTGACTAGTTGCATTACATTCAAGGGAGTAATAACATATTCTGACAATAGAAAACAGTTTTGTAGCCAAAGTTCTTCGCACATTTTTTTTTTTTTTTACATGAAGTTCGGGTCCTTTAGCCTCTAAATAATTTAACAAGAAGCAACATTATTAAAATCACTAAATTGATCAGGGTCTTCATTCTACCCACAGTACCTGCTCCTGACCTTTGTTTTTTTTTTTATGCACCTGCCCCTGACCTTTAATCACCTCAAATTTGTCAAGTAGACATAACTACAAAATTATCATGTCCGATAAAGCAGATGAAAGCCAGGTCTAAACTGTTTAATACACAATTGTTAAGTGTTACTTACCACAGTCCAAAGTAATAGCTCACAGAACAATGAAGAGCTAATTGACTTATATAGTTGGATAAGCAGTAACTCAGTAAGCCAGTAACCAAACCAGTGTGTTATAGATCGCTGAATTATAAGGCTCACTGACATTATGTATAGAGCTCGGCATGAGGGCCAATCAAGCACAGCATGAAAGCAGCCCGGCCTTGCACGAGCCTTCCACAAGCCCGGCACGTTACGAGAGGCATGCCAGTGGGGCATGGGTCGTACATGGACATCATTTTCAAATTTTGGCACGTGATTAGAGTACGACGGCCTGGCCCAAATATTAGCCTGCTTTTTACCAGTTTACCAAAAGTATAGCATTACTACTGGCCCGCTAGCAAGTCACGGTGCGCCAGAATACTACAAGATACATAGGTCAAGCCGGGTGCAAGGGTTCCATTATTTGAATGATCGAAATGAGCCTAGCAAGACTTTTTCTTAGACCATTTGAGACATAACCCGCTTGAGCACAAGGCACATGGGCCTACATGGCACAGCCTATGCCCAGATTTAATTATGTATTTGAGTAATTTGACAAAGATTGTTTATCCTTAGCTACTTGATGATAAAGACCAAACATTAAATTATGAAAAGCTCTTAAGAAACCATAATAAAGTTAATTATGGATAAAGTCTATTTGAAGCTTCCACAGCAAGACAATGAACATATATGATGTTTCAAACAGATTTTTTTTCATTGAGCCACTAAATAATGATATTTAGCCATGCAGTCAATAGTATCTCAAAGCTCACCTTCAATCCATCTCTGTTTCCTTTAAGAACAACATCGAGGTATCGGTCCAAAATTTCCCTCTCCAGGCTGTAATTCATTCACAACACACATCAACTTCAATCCATTTAGAAAAAAAAGAAGGGATAAAGACCCAAGAAAAATAGTCTCGTCCAGCATTTCAAAGAAAAGTAAAAGGTAATAATGTTTTAAAAGGCATGAAAATAAGGCATATGTCTAGGCAAGTTTCAGATTATAGAATAAGAAAACAGTTATATGATGACTATTATGACAGATTAGAATTCAAAAGGCATTAATCATTGATCTTCCATAAATAGAAACTCCATCACAATTCACATACATATTGTATTATTGTCCACCTATCTACTTTCGTATATCAATTTTACAGTCATTTTTGGTTAAGAAATCCATATTACTCGATCAAATTTATTTGTTTCTATTATACTAGCAAACTGTTAGTTAAGGCCCATTCTTTTATTGTAATTAATATTTCTGAAAAAATATGGGCAATGTTGGTAGTGAACAAAGTAATAATTGAACAGTAAAAATCAGGGGTTAATTTAAAGCTTATATAGTTTAGTTTCCTTTAATTTACAAAAACCCCTTGATAAAAAAATATTCATTTATAAGCCCATGTTCACTATCTTGACGTAAAATCTTTTTTTTCCTCAATACAACTAAGGTAAAGCAAGTTGGTAGTGAAAAGAGTAATGGGGGTTAATTTAAAGCTTATATAGTTTAGTTTCCTTTAATTTACAGAAACCCCTTAATTAAAAATAAAAAAAAATAAAAAAATCCATTTATATGTCCATGTTCACTATCCTGGGGTAACATCTTTTTTTTCCTCAATACAACTAAGGTAAAGCAAGTGTAACGTAAAAGAGAGATTGACTTTATACGGGATATGGAGTGACTTTTATTAGTAAGCTTTATGCTGTGGCATACCTTTCAGAGAAACATAGGGTAAATTTTAACGAGAATTGTATAGCTTTTACTACTTTATTTTATATGTTTGCCCTGCTGTGCTATTCAAGATATAGGGATCTCACTTTAATTGTTGCCATAAAAATGTGTTATATTTCCCTTCCCTTTAAATAAGTAATATGTCTTTTGAGTATGCCTGTATAGCTGTATGAGTCATTCCAAAACAAGGGAACATTCCCAAGAGAAAGAGGAGTATGAACAAAAAAGGACCTGAGTTGTACAGGTCTTGGATTCAAACTAGTGTATAAATAACCCAAGCATCTCAAAAATAAGAGTTCAGCTATTAATTCTTTTTGGACATGAGACAAAGGTTTCCAAACATTACCGACTTGGTAGTCCAGGATACATGGTGCTCCCCCCACTAAGAACAATATGTTGATAAAGCTGCAAAGAAGAATGCATATATATTAGTGGTTGACAGTAATTAATTAACCCTAGTACGAAAAAACATGCAAATAATATATGAAGAAAATGTTATAATTTATCCACTGTCACAAAATGAGATCCTGATCTATCAAAAATATGCATTCCCTTGCTTGTATCTACTACTTTCAGTTTGAAACTCATGATTAGAAAAACCAAGGTGACAAAAGAAAAATCACTGCAACCAACATTCTACAAGCTACAGGTTATATTCTCAATTACACCAGAGTTGCATTTGAGAAAAAAGAACATGTAACTACATAAGCATTTAATTCTGGTTTTAGATTCAGTGGCCCTTCCATCCTTGGGAATTTATTTATTTTTATTTTTGGCACGTATAATCTTCAACTCTTCTGTCCATTTTTTTTTCCTTTGGCAATATTCATTAGCCTTTGGGATGATCTAGGTGGATCTCATTTTTTTTTCCTTAAGCAATATTCATACACTAGATTTGCTTTTCTAAAAATATCATAGTTGAATACCAGGATTTTCAATCAAATAAAAACCATGGGATATTCCTGACATTGCAACACAAAAAGTTGACTTGCACAACTAAACAAACAAACGAAACCAAAGCCTTATCCCCAAATTGGTTGGTTGCATGAACCAAGAATTTATCTCTCGTGGTCATCCACAAATTTTTTTCCTCCATTTGCTTCTTTCCAGTGCTACATGTTCCACCAAACCCCCTTCCTTCACGTCACTCTTAACTCCCTCTATGATCATCTTTGACTTCTTTAAAAATATTTTATATCCCAACCTTCCTAGCAATGTAACTACTTCTCCCTTATCTTAACCTCAATATTTGCAACTCCAACTTCCCTACAATTATCTACATTCCTATAAGGCATTCCCAAACATCCATTTCAAATTCACATCTTTGCTACACTCAGATATACAACTTTTACAAATACACTCACATTTCCTTAGGGTTACAAATTAAGGACTTGTTAATCATTGCACTAGAGTTCCGACATTACTGATAATTTTTGGCATTATAAAGTGAAAAGCAATATTGCATTGAAATATTGAAGTGGCGGATAATATGTAATAAGAAAAGTACTTAAGGGAGCATAATAAGAGATGGCGTAGCTAGAGCAACCAAGTGTAAACAACATTCAACAATTATCATAGAGTTTACCATCATGCGGTTATCAATATCCATCTCCTGGATGCAGCGGAATACCATATCAGCCAATCCATCACCTTCAACATCTATAAGTTCCTGTGGCAAGTAAAATGTTGTATAATTGAGCAATAATGCATGAAAAACAATACTCTACGTCTTTCACTTTGGCTTTCAATAATGATCTCCCATAACATTAGTGAATAGAAATTTAATACAAATTACAAATGTAAGCTTAGCTCTGCTTACTGGAGTGAAAAGTGCTTCAGGAGCCTGAAAACGCTCTGTGCCCACTTTTATAACCCTTCCATCGGGCAGCTGGGAGAAGAAACCCTTATCAGTATTTGAAATTTGGCACACAGTGTGTGTGGAAAGCTGTTAACACATCAACTTACTGTGTACTTCTTCATTAGAATGGTGGTCTCAAGTCCCAATTGATACTCTCGTTTGTAATCATAACTGCACTACAGAAAACTAGTCATAGATGGAGATGGAAATACATACAGGAAGTTCATCCAACATATGTATCCTGACCTTACATAGCACAGCTTTTCTTTGATTTGTCTGACAGTTTCAAAATCAGCTGCCCTGTTCATGGCATACCTTCAGAAAAAAGAATCAAGAGTCAATCAAACTGATAAACAATTCCCCAACAAGATTAAGAGAGAAACCAGCATTGATAGTACCATATTATAGCTAATTGAACTGATTCTCACCCTCTTCGTGTGAGCAAATCCACAAGGTAAGATGTTATATGCCTCCCTGCCACATTCATTCGCTTAGTCAAATGTGGGAACGAGTAACCATCGACAACAGGAACCTGGAAAAGAAGTTCATTTGGACCTTTAATTACTATGGATCCACATGGGAACAACATCCTGTGTTGCACTTTAAGTTCTTTTTTAAACAATAATATACTAGCTTCAATCACATCTTGTTTCAGAATAGGATAATAAAGACATGCAACAAGTGATAGATAGAGAGCACGCATTTAATTAACCTGAAATAGGTGGTCTGTGATGACATGGAGCAAAAAGGGGTTTAATGATGAAAAACTGCAAGATTTTGTTCCTTCAACTTTTAAAAATTCTTCATTATGAATAGTTTACTTTTGACATTAATCATTTAACCATCTTTGGTAATTTATACACATACAGAAAAACATATCCAAGTAGGATTCTGTTGGTATCATCTCAATATATGATTTTTATTTACTGATAATTAAAAAAAAAATTAATCGCCAAAGTTATGCATTGGCAATAGAGACAATACACATCATGCAAAATGCATACAAAGCACTGAATGTGCTGCAATGAAAGATTGGAATAATATGCTTAGAATTATATGCAAGACCTAGTTCAGAAATAACTGCAATAGGGGTTTATGCAATCCACAAAGACAAAATTTACTTCCTTTTCAACTTTCTATTCACCAAATGAGGGAGGAAGACCAAAGCAAATGACCTCACTCGATAAGCAAAAGAACAATTCTATGTTTTCAGAATTTACCACATGAGTGACACCATCCCCAGAATCAATAACTAGCCCTGTGAGCAAGCCTGCAAAATTAAGGACTGATACCATAAGCAAGTAGATATGATTGCATTGTTTGACAGGAATACTGATACTTTCAGTTCTATGGATTTAAAGGTCTTATGCAGCATTTTGCAGATGAAAAATATAGAGCTACAGACTTACAGCACCTTGAGCATAAAGGGTTAGGACAGCTTGGATTTGGATAAAGACACCAGAGAAATTGTATCTCTCAAACATTGTCTCGACCTACATTATGATCAAATCATTAATTGTCCCGTTTAACAATTAAAAATTGTGCAAGTGTGATGAGCAAATAAGAATGCTGGTTTAATTATACAAATTTCCTAAGAAATGTTGACCAGATCACACATACAAAACAAAAACACAAAAAAAGTACCATTTGCTCACGGTTTTTTGATGGATTCAGCGGTGGATCTGTCAACAAAATTTTACATTCTGTAGGATCTACCTGCCAAAGATTGCAACAGAACAGAGAGAAAGCATATAAAATTAGAATTTAATTAGTTTTACTAGCAATTTTTAATAGAGAGCAACAAAGTCTACCTTCAATTCATTGAAAAATGCATAATCCCATACATGACACATGTCATCCCAGTTCTGAATAATACCATTGTTGACAGGATAAGTAATATCTAATTGGTTTCGCAAGTCTGCGCAAGCCTCTCCAACAACAATGTCCTGCATAATGAACCCATAAGCCTTCTCAGAAATCCTCATAAGTAGCGAACAACCTACAAGCTAACTACAAGACATAATGAAATAGATGTTCTGCATAAGGCTCCTAAGATGAGGAACCAACAGAAACAGCCTCCTTCACAAGTAAAGAAAGAAGAAATCACTTGCCTAAGTTTAAAAATTCCCACCTTCAATTCTTGTTCCATCAACGATTCGTCATACCGTAGCATAGGCTTTCCGACCACACAAGGGAAAACCGAAGTCGGAAAATTCTCTCCAGCAAATCCGCACTTAACATACTACAAGAGAAGGATAAAAGGGATACCTGTCAACGCTTCAACTCTTCTGATATAAAAACAATCAATATAACTTGAACAAGGTAACCTCCTAGCAAAAAGAAAATACGAGTCCCAACGATCAAGAAAATCGAGTATTTTCCTTCAACAAATGGCATCTATATTGCATAATTGCTATTAAGTTTTAGGGATTGTTTCAATAATACTTCCTAGCTCTCCCCATTTACCTCGTTTAGATAATACTTCCCCCATCACTCATTCAACGGAACATTATCTAGCAACAATTCTCATAAATACAATGTTTAGTATGCACATTCCATGGCTGAAGCTGAATTGTACCATTAATGATCACAGTATTAAAAATTTAACTTCTTTCACCATAAAAATTGAAAATGCGCAAAATAGGACAATTCCTAAGATGTAGCTACAAATTAAGACAGACATTGGAAACTGTAAACCCTAAATTAATCATCAAACAAATTAAACAATCAAGGGTTTTCACAACAATTGGAGAAAAACATCATATCCCCATAAAAAAAAATTAAAAATTAAAAATTAAAAAAAAAGAAAAAAATTCAAGGATTGACAATGAATATTAACGAGATTGATCTAAATATTACATTTTTTAAATTCGTATAGCAATAATCAAAGAAAATAACAAACTGAGGGATTGAAATTAAAGATTAAAGGAAGTTACCCCGGTGCCATTATCGCAAACGACGACGTTTTTATTGTCCATTAGTTTGATCTTCTGGAAATTTAAGTTATTTGCAGGCGATCAAGTGTAAAAAGAGAGAGGATGAATTAAAGAGAAGAGATTGAAAATGCAGAAATGGTTGATTAATATCTTGGAGTGAAAGTTACACCATCAAATTCAATTGGAGTAGCTACTACAAATATGTACGAAGTATTGTGTAATGTACGAAGTACTGTATTTTTGTTTTGTTTTAGTGAACAATAATTATACTTTGTATTTGATCGCATTAACAAATGTGTGTACTTTAAAATAAAAACTTGAAAAAAACGGATGGTGTACTTATTTTACTTTTTGCGACATGATGATACGGAGTAACTCTCTTTTCTCTTTTTGAGGGTTGGAGGAAGGTTGTCATATTTATCTATTGAGTTGAAGTTTGCCCCCTTGTTGAACAAGGTCAAGGGTTTTACAGAGTATTAATATGAGTAAATTGGTATATTTAAAAAAAAAAAAAAAAGTTGAGTAGTGTAGGGTTTTTTGGTGTCTACAAGTAAATAGAACGTTTTGATATTCTCCTTCTAATCAAGTGAACTAACAAGTCCGATAAAATTAATCATGCTTAGCTTGAGCTCTTAACATAATTCGAAATATAATAATAATATTTGATAATTACAAACTTCCACTTTAATTTACCTTATCAACTGTCTTTACATAGAATAATTAGAAATGAAGAGTAGTTGTGTAGAAGATAATATATGCAGTGATTTAACAACAGTAAGAATAACAACCTTGTCATGTGTAACAATGTGGTTGATTATTTTCCATAAAACCAAGTGAGCTAAAAGAGCCATAAATACTAATTGCACTAATGATGGGTTGGGGGCGGCTTTTGTCCAAAATGAGGAACGACACAGCCTTGCATCTTTGCATATTCATGGTATTGCAAGCCGCTCATGGCACAGTCCTCACTCAGTTCCTATAATAAGCTCAAGCATGCATCTAAACCATTGGCCACCATTGCCACCATCCCACAAGCTCAGATAATTTATCTGGAACATAATCTTCAGATTCACTAGCTGAGCTATGCAATCCCCAAGTTCTACCCTAAATTCAACTTTTAAGTGCTTGAACAGAACCCTCACAGCTAGTCGTGAACTACTGCAGAGCCTGCTAGCTAAGAAGTGGCTGACACAGTGACACTCATTGCTCGCAAGTTGCAATCTTTGTTGCGTATTTGCTAGATATGACATATCAGAAGGGCAATCAACTATGCAATATTCAGTTCAGAATCCCACAGGTGAAGCACAAGAGACCCTATTTAATTGTATCATCGTTTGCAAATCCGGATCTGAATCCCTGCTGAAGGCTATAATGGGTGCCTTAAACCTGAAACAGATGTTAGCAATTTCCTAGAGATGGCTTTCCATTTATCATTCGTGGGAACGAATTCATTATGTTGCATTTCTTGAATCAGCAGCAGAAATGGCTCTGGATTGGAAGAACAAGCCAGAAGCGCCAAAATTTCAGTTGATATTTCTTGCAGCAAAGAAGGTGAAGCAGCCATAACCTGTTTCAGGTGGTCGATAGCAGTTTCAAATTGTTGAGCTTCAGCAAGATATTTCAACAAAATAACATGGGACTATTTATGTCTCAGGTGACAATTACTGCACAAGAATTTTGAAGCATATAATAAACAACCTGCATCATCAAAGACAAAGTTGATCTCAATTATCAAATCAAAAGAAGAAACACCTATCACCAGTTTGCTAGGAATAAGCACTACGTAAGAAGCACTACCTCCTTTACAAAGGGACAGAATAAGTGGATTTACAATAGCTTGTTCTATTGTTGTATCCTGATCAGCAACCTTGTAGTAAATCTGAATCGTGGCTTCAAATTTCGAGTCTTGACAAAGGCATGCAAGCAGAAATGAGTATATGGCAGCATCAGGCATTACGCCTTTCTTTAGCATGTTATCGAAGAGTACCTGTGCTTCATCAATTTGACCTATTTCTGCAAACTTTTTTAATGAGGATATTGTAAGTCTTCAAGTTTCCATCAACCCCATAGGCAAACATTTCGTCCCAAAGCTTCTGTGCAGGACGAATAAGATCCTCCCTACATAACGCGTCCATAAGAACATTATAAAATGAGATGTCAGGGTATAGACCTTTCCTCCTCATCTCTTGAAGAACACCATAAGCTTCTCTAACTTTTCTAGCCTCGCACGTAGACGAAATCATAACATAATAGCTCTCTAAGTTTGTGAAATAGTCTTTGGAAAACAAAACATTATAAACATCCAACATATCATCACTTTTACCATGTTTGTACAAGTTTCTACTCAAATTGCTCAAGGTAATAAGATCCGGCATTCTTTCTCTTTCGAGCATGAACTTGAAGAACAACATAGCTGAACATGGATCAACCAATGATACTGATCCAATCAAAGCATTCAAAGCATCATCTTCAATAGGAAAATTGCCTTCCAAAATCACTAACCCCAGCACTTTAGCTTCATAAATCAAATTTTCTGAAAGCAAGGTAAATATAAATTCTCTATAATCAATAGCCCTTGGAGCCACTCCTAACTTCCTTTTCTTTTTCAAAATCGCTTGTACCTCGAAGATACACCCCGGTCCCTTAGACCGAAAAGCCTCCGCTACAACCCTATAAGCCATAAAATCAGGCTTACAATCTCTATTCCTCAACTCCTCTAATGCATTATAAGCCTCAGACACCCGACCCACCTCGCAAAGCCCGTGTAAGATCAAAAGAGCAACTATCGACCCATCAAACCTCGAAACACCACTTCTAACTCTATCCAACACACCTAAAATCAAATCCGGTTGATAATCCTGACAAAACCTCCACATAAACAAACCAATTCCAAGAGTGTTAAAACTCACACCTCTCACAAGCATTTCATCGAACACCTTGCGTGCACAATCAACCCGCCCTTCGGAAACCAACCCAGCAAGCAGAGAATTACAAGTTTCAGCCCCAATATCGAAAATCAACGACTCAACATCTTTCAAAATCAAAAAACCTTCATGGGATTTCTTCGATTTAACAAGGGAAGCAATAACAGGGCGATAAAAAGAAGGATCAACAGCAAAGTTTCGAGATTTGGCTTCTTTAAGAACCTTCTCCAAGGAATTGAATTGGCGGGAAATTGAGAGGGATTTGAGAATGGAGTGATAAGAAATTGAGGAGTGAGAGAAATTGGGTTGTTGAGCAGCCCAGTTGAAGAAACCCAATGAAAGAGATGGGTGGCGAAGAAGATGAGGGTCGATGACTCGGGCAACGAGTGATGGGTTGAGCGAGTCACGGCAACCGAGTTGGTGAAGGGTTTGTTCGAGCGACCGAGTCCATGATCCGGTGGGTTTCGAGTTGGTGGAAGATGAGATCAAGGCTCTGCTTATTTGGCTCGCTGCTTCTTTCGCCGGAGGTTGCATTTGATATTGGAGGGAAACCCGCGTTGAGAAACTATAATTCGAAAATTAACTACCGAGCTATATTAGGTATTTCCTCCGTTTTTTTAAGTAACACTAACACACAAAGTTTTGGTGTTAGGTGATTTATATACAGTGTATCCGAGTATGGTAGTGTGGTTTGTTGGAGAAAGGGGTCTTAGGATGTAAGATGGGAGCAACCGAGTAATTGGTTAAAAACTTAAAACGATTTAACTTGGAATTTGTATCACATATTTCCTCCGTTCTTTATTGTTTGCCTCATTTTTATTTTTAGTCCATCCCTTTAAATTTGTCTCATACTAGGTTTTTTTTTTAGGGGCGCACAACTTTTCATTCATGTACAACCAATACATTTATCTGTTATCTCTACCACTAATCTCTTTATAATCAATTTAAAAAGAAGTATATGTAATTAAGGAAAAATGTTGAAGATGTATATAAGCTTGAAGCCACATGTAGTTGTACTAGTAGACTTCTTACACAGCAAACAACGAACGAAATAATCAATTAGCAAACATAAGACGTAATGATAATACGATGTAACTGATAAGATTAAGATACCTCGATTATAATTCTTGAACCATACATTAATGAAGGATAAACTGCAATAAAGCGAGGAAGAGGAGCCATCTTTAATACAACAGAGTAATACTCAAATGGCCTTGAGATTAGAAATATTGCGAAATTTAGTATACATTCCAACTTGAAATGTGTATAGATACATTTAATTTGTAATGTAGAGAACACGTACAAACGTCGGAATGTTTCATAAACATAGTGTCCTTGCACTTGTCCGATAACAAAGCAACATGCCCATGTTCAAAATTGTAACTTTTGAGCGGCATAGGTAATGAACCATTTTAAACAAACCCCTGAATTTCGCAGCATGTTTGATACTTCTACAAAACAAACTTTCATGTGTAATCAGAGGATAAAAAAACATTAAAAATGTGACAAACAAGATATATTCTCATAAAATATATTCTTTTGAATGCAGGGGATGCAACTTTCAACATCTCCTATGCTGCATTCCAGTAATAAAACACTATAGCAAAGAAAAACTAAACAGAATGTAAAAAAGATCAATTCTGTTTTTCAAAGTAAAAACATGGATAAATCAGCAGGTGATTTCAGATCTCTGAGGAACCAAATCAGTTGGTTGTAAGAAAGAATACTTGAAGCTGACTGATTTGCCTCGAGCAATCGGACGGCCGTTATTGATCAGGCAACTGTCACCCTTCACCTTAAAAACACCGGGATTAATAGGTTGAACAGAGCTGAAACCAAGGCATCTCAAGTATACTCGAGATTGAGCACATGGACAGTTGTTAGTTACGGTTACTGCATATTGTGGCTGACCTTCTATTGTTGTTCCTGTTCTTTTTGTTGTCACTTTTATGTTCTTTAAACCACATTTGTAACTGTAACCTGCAAAAATTAAATGACAAATCTAGTTAATTCAGGTTGTTTCATATTCAAATGACTAGAAACATAACTCGTTGTTACTTGTGATTATATTTCGCAAAATAGAGCTGGCAAAACTTGGCTTAACATGAAAACTACCTAATAATCAAGTACTCGCAATAAATGCAATAATTAATCGTCTTTCAAAAACAACTATTTTAACAGAGGTAATACGAGCAACCACAAGTCCACAAACCCATAGACGAATTATGAGGTACAGTTGTCGACTTCTGGTTGCTCTACACTACAATGGGTGTCTTTTGATGATACAAAAGACACCCATTGTAGAAACTTTTCTTAGGCGTTCAAATATCAACAAATACGAAGTAACTCGTAATAACGAACAAAGGTAAAAAAAAAACTTACCCTGTTGACACATAAGAAAGACGATAAGAACAACAGAGAAGATCCTTAGTGATGCTGCCATGTTATTTTCTCCTTTCTTCTATCTTCTGCAACAAAGTGCAACTATCTAGTAATAATCTCAAAGAAGCTAAGAGAGAATTAGAGTACTTTTTTTTTTTTTTTTTTTTTTTTTTGAAAACGAGAATTAGAGTACTTAGTATAATGAGTTCAAAGTAAGTAGAATATATATAGTAGAAGTTTGACTTGCAAGTAGAGAGAGAGAAGGTCAAAAGAAGGACACTAAACTCATACCAACAGTCGGCGATAATTGCGCCATTTTCCTACTGGGGCTTTGAATTACCTTTTGTTTACGTACCTAATTAAAATATTACTATTATTAAACCTACACTCTTTGTAGATTATAAGTAGGATTCAACTAAGATTATTTAATTTTTGGGTAATGTATTTTTTTTATTGAAGTTTTGTTCCTTAATTTGTGCTAATTTTGTCTCTTTTCTTACATCCCATGCTCTTACCGACATCATCATTGGCTTGTTTCAAATGTGTTTAATTTTATGGAGCTTATCAAATTAAGTATGAAAATGATGGTAAATCTTGCTTATAACTTCTAGTTTTCAATAAAGATTATGCATGCATATGTGACAAAATTTGCATAAGATCTTGTTAATTATTAAAAGTTAGGATCACTATGGAGTTAGCCACAAGATTTAAAATTTTAGCTTTGTCAAAAAAATATAATTTAAGAAAATCATTGTCAAAAAAATTAAATTCATATAAATTTAGATGCACTGTATAAGGAAATTTTGAGGTTGAAAAAAAAAGTTATCAACAAAAGTTCATTAATTAAAACAAGTTGATATCGTTGAGTTCCACACAAGAGTAAAATAATTAAGTCAATTTTAAATCTCAAGAATAATTATAAAGTATATAGTCTTTTTTTTTTTTCTATAGAGGATGAATGCGTAAAGTTTAAGAAAATACATATTCGTAGTTCGTATGTAAAGCACTATAGCACAAATTAGCCCACCATGTGATTTATCCTGATAAGGTGCAACACATAAAACTAACGGACATAGTAATATGTGGGCGATTATATCAATCATACTACATACTTTGATTTGTCTTATTATTTCATCAACGACTTAAGTTTAATATATTAATTATATAATAATAGTGTATAGTATATGAACAAAATGGGATGTTCCAAGTTGAAGTCTAAAGAGGAGAAATAAGTTGGCAATGACATGTGCGTTATATACACAATTCATGTGAGCATTTGAAAGTAGCACATGCTTTGGTGGTTACAACTTGGATTTAGTTGCCCATTTCAATCTGCCCATCTACCTTTGCTTCTTTCAATTTTGTTGAGGGTGATGACATTTTCGTCACCTTATAACTTCCCACCTTTTCTTTTTTTGACCAGGTTCGATCTCTGTCTTTTTTGGGTGCAACCGGCCTCTCTCTCGAGGATACATATGTGATGAATTACGTCGACATTTGTGATGATGACTAGGTTTGTGTTCTTTTTTGGGTGATTTCGGCCTCTCTCGAGGATGTGTATGTGATGAATTGCGACATGATGTAACAAAATACTACGTATATACAATTACTACCTTTGTTTTGTAATGTTCGTGTCATTTATAATTTATAGGCCAAGATAAAATAACTTTGATTTTTCTTTATGGATAACGAGTATATGAAAGAAAAAGAAAAAAGTAGTACGGATCATGTGTTAAAATAATTGTTAATTAAAATTTAATTAAAAAAAGAAAAATATTATTGGATAATGAACGGCGAAATAAAAATTAAACTTTTAAGGAGGACAAAACTTTGAGAGATTTGTAGATTTTTTATTTTGGAATGGAGGAAGAAGTTTTTAAATTTTGAGAGATCAATTCTCTTTAGTATCATAGATAAACGATGCAAGAGTTGATGCAACACCATTTAATTATGGTCATGTGAATTTGATCTAATCTTGAATTCTTGATTACGTCTTGTAATTTGATCCATATGTTTTCTTAATGAAACAAGTGATCAATAATAACCCTCTTACTGTTTTGAATTAAAAGATGAAATGATTAACAACTATACAACATGGCCAAGTAGGTCCAACTAGCTAAATTAAGCACATCGAATTGACAAATTCGTTGCCTAATACTCGGTCCAATTTAATAATTCTTCTTTTTAATACGAAGTAATTTAATATCATTGTATTATTATGGTATATAAAATATAATCACAGCTAATAATACGTACACCATAAGAGCTAATATCAATTGATTTAGGATAAAAAGTTTCCCTTAAGTAATTTAATTAATACATATACGTAACTTCAAAACCATATAACACAAACACATAGTCGTAGCAACTAATATGAACCGGTGTGCACAAATTAAAGTAGCTATGAATATGAACATGAATTTGTTTTGCGACCCGAGCAGCCGACATTAGCTTCAATTGGAGGGTGGACTTGGATCCTTGTAGAATGAGTATAAATATGATAGAATGATGTAGAAGTACTAATTAAGTGCTACCTGACAATAATGTGATAATGTGAATGCGATGAGTTTGGTGCACTTGCCCTCATCAGTCAGTTCCTCATGTTCTTTTCTTGATTGAACCTCAGCTTTTGGTTCAATCCTTTATTCTATTCAATGTGACTTATTTAAAGGAATGTTGACATTCCATATACAATAATGCATTCACGTATCACTTTACAAACATCCTACAACCAACAATAACCAACAATGTTACAGTCTAGATTTGAATTGGTGTCTCTTTTAACATCAATCTAATTCGACTTTTGATACTTAAAACAGATAGTATATTCAAAATGCAATATACATGAAAAAAGCCATATAGCACAACAATGTAAGCAAGATTCAAGTTTGGGTCTTAGATAATAGTTATACTACCCTGATATTTTGCATCCTAACTTTAGTTGTTGACATCAACATATTGTATGGCGTACGTTCTTAACAAAATTAAATCACTAAAAGTTATTATTGTAATGGCGTACGTTCTTAACAAAATTAAATCACTAAAAGTTATTATTTTACAATGCTTTTACTCGAAAGAGATACTAGTAAGTGGAATAAATCAACCTTATCTCAATTCTCAACGTACCCTACCTCTCATCTATGCTACAAATTTAATCTAGTAAGATTTGGTGTGTAAATGAAGTTATAGTAAGCACTTTCATCATAATCTCAAATCTCAATGAAAAGCTTTAGCCAAAAGTAAAAAGATTGATGCTTAAAGTATACATTGTTCAATGATTTTTCCATCAATGTGCAACTTTGGGGCTTGACACGAAAACCAATGCAATATTTGATAATGGTGATTAATGTATTATAGGGGTATGTAATTAAGGTGGAGAGAGAATGTTTGGATAATTAATCAACCACCCACCGCCACCACCAAGACCAGCCAACACCACCCACACCGCCTTCACTGACACCACCTCCGCCTTCAACAACACCACTACCACCCCCACGAAACCACCACCACCCTCACGAAAACCCACCATCCCCACGAAATCACCACCGTACCACCCACAAAAACCCAGGCCACCACCTCCAAGCAAACAACCCCACGAAATCGACCTCTACGAAACCCACCACCACCCCCACGAAATCCACGTCCACAAACTCTCCTCTACGAAACCTAGACAACAACCCCGGCCCAACGAAATCCCACCACGAAAGCCCGATGAAATCCCATTGCGAAAGCCCGACGAAATCCCAGAAATCTGACAAAAACCACCCCAAAATCCCAGAGATCCTACGAAATTCTTGTAGTTGAAGAGAGAGAAAGAAGATCTATAAAAATTCAAAGAGATAATGAGATTGAAAGAGGAGAGAGAAAATTTGGGGGAAGATGAAGATGAAGATGAATGAAGATGGTTTTGGGTTTCTTGAATTGAAGATGAAGAGCTGATGAATTAGATTGGGTTGGTTGGGGTGAAAATTGGGTGAGAATTAGTGATTAATATAATCTGATTATAGTTAGTAAATTGTGTTTTAATTTTTTAAATGAGTGTAAAATTGATATTTGACTAGTTTCTTTTACTAAAAGAGGAAAAAAAAAAAATTTAGTTACACATAATATTTAGCGGACAAAAATAGTAAAAGTTGCACATTACATTTAACGAAAGTAGTAGTAGTTTATATATACTTTATACTGCCCCTAAACTTTAAGGCATGTTTATAAGCATGCAAATTGCAAAGTACTGTTTATTGATATTTTTCCATTGTCATGATCATGGGCCTGGAGCTTGTTTTACAATTACTTCAAATTGATTTGGGCTTTTTCAAAGTTGTTGGGCTTGCAACATCTCAACACTTTTTTCTTGTATCCAAGTGCAAAGAAAAATGAATTAAGTGAAGCAGTTGTTTGCCTATGTAGGTTTTTGCTGTTTTGGTAAACTACATGGTAGTAATACTACCACAGAGAATTAAACATACGAACTAGTCTTTTTTCGACGATTTGTTTGGTTAACTGGCTAAGCTGGCTTTGTGTATCAGTATAGGGTTGTCCTGGCTGCTACGCCTCTCCGAATCCCCCTCCCCCAAAAGAAAACCCCACTCTACCCATGAGAACTGAACTTCAGTACTAAAGCCGGAGATGGTAAAGGTGTAACACATTCGCTCTAGAATCTAGATACACTTGAATATGATTACCAATGAAATTGAATAGGGGAAATGAACAATTTAAGGTGATAAACCTACAGAGTAATATATACAGATTATTTCACTAATAAATATGTACATACAAAGGATATTTACATCGCCTTTCCTGTACAGAAGCCACTATATACTACGAGTATATACGAGTAACCTTAATATTCACAGTGAGGAAGGCGTGTTTAGCCTACTTATTTACAACCTGGAGCTAATTACAGTGTCCTGAATTTTTACATAGGGTGATGTATATGTATTATTAAGTACAACTTTTTTCTTTTACCCTGCCTATCTGCATAATATGTACTTCCCTATCAGCTATATTTTGGTATCAGAAACAATTGCTGCACATTCCTGTACTTCAATAGCTGCACAAGACTATACAGTTTAATTACAGTACCTGCTGTTTCGCTTTAAGGTCTGCAAACTCGAGCATTTAAAAAGATTCCCGAAGAGGAAACTCATCGTAGTTTCCTGAGCTGGTTTAGGAGTGTGAAATGAATTGTGTTTTATCTGCAATATGGTTTGGCCGATTTGCTGTTGGATAGAATTGACTGTCCCTGGATCCACAGGAGCTCCTGCTACGTCTGTTACATAGAAAGTGTCTACGGCTTTGCCACTCTTTGTGGATATTTCAGCTCTTTGGATGGTTAGCCCATTTTCCCTA